TAACGGGATTACTTTTTTGGGGAAGTAATCGGTAATTAGTTAATGATTACTTTTTTCAAGTAACTTGACCAACACTGGTCGTGTGTTGTAATCTTATTAATAATAATAACGTTAGGATTAATTGTTCTTTAACTTTATGTGCTCTTTATTTAGGCAAACGTATTTAATGACACTAAGAAGTGCAGTGAATCTTATCAGGCTTTAAAAAATGAACCTCATACACACCACCTCGCATACACACCAGCTCTTCTCGTAAAACACCGAGGCTCCGGGACGCAAACTCCAGAGTGTCCCGGATCTGCCCCAAAGGCCTCCTTCCTGAAACCCCCAGTAGGCAAGCTAGTGAGTTACCTGAATGACAACTAGCACCTTTTGATGTAGCGAAGTAGTGGCTTTGGCGCTGAGCGTGTCCCAATTGCCCAAGCTCTTAACCCTGTCTCAAAGTGAAAACCATGTACAACCTTAGGAGGAAGCAACTCCTGTTTTCAACTCCTGTATTACCTCTCCTGGATTGCAGTCACTTATGGCCCCACCAATGCAACGAGCCAGATAAGGTCCTTTCTTAAAAAAAAGAGGGTTAATCACAGTTAGCAGTTGGATAGAACTTCCTCCAGTATGTTACGGCGAATGAGCTCTGAGCCCTGGAGTAGATGGCTTCACTCCACACTTTGTAATCCAGTCTTGATGTTAAGAAATAAAGATTTTCAGCAGTATTCTGTGACTGCTCATAAACAGATATCCATAACTGTTTTCAACAAAAGATTTAATGATATCACACAAGACTTTAGAACAACAAAGCTGCAGCTCTAGCAGCTGTGCTTTCTAGGATTTTGTTTCTAACTTTATCAATGTCTCCTGACGACTCTTCAGACTGCCCCCCTGGGAGCCTCTTGTGGTTGCTTCCCCTCATCCTGTTCCTCTTGTTGCTGTTGGCTCTTCTGCTGCTTTGCTGCTGGAAGTATTGCGCCTGCTGCAAGGCCTGCTTTCAGGTAATAAACACTCACATTTGGAACTGTAAATAATTAATTAGAAGTCACAGGGGAGGTAATGGTTTCTGTCTTTTCTCAACACAGAGCTGTCTGGCTCTGCTGCCTTGCTGTAGGAGAGGTAAGATGTTTATCATGTTGTATATTATTCATCATTTCCAGCAGGGGTTTGTGTTGAAGGTGAGCGACCTCATGTTGAATTCTATTTCCAGGCCGCATGGTTGGATTCAAAGAAGATGAATATTTGCTCCGTCAGTCTCTGCTTACCTCAGACCATCTTGACACACCGATGGTGAGGACCGGTCCACCCAAAGGTACCGACGTGGTTCGCTGGAAGGTTACAGACAATGTCCACCGTGGACCCAATCACCCCCAGGCTCTAATAAAGCCAAACCCTAAAGAGACCAGTGAGTTCTTTCAAAAGCAGAAAAATTGAAGAAAAAGTCAAATGGAGTTTTGGAGTAAAAAAAACTTTTACACAAATCTTTTCTTTGTTTTCAACTTTTGTAGTCCCATTCCCGATCTCACTTCGACTGAACAGGCTCTTCTCTGAGAGCCTGACACACCCCGATTCCAAAGAGGGTGACCAGCTCCGCAAGGAAGTTGCAGATAATGTGAGTCTTTTGGATTGTTTGTGGGCATGTATCAGTATAGGAACAGTTTCACTTAGCTGTTTGTTTTTCCATTTAGCTAAATGAGTTGTACAAGCAAATTCCTGGGGCGCAGAAGGTGCAGAAGACCTCCTTCAGGTAAGATGGACTAAATGTCCAGTAACACCAAAAATATGTGTGCTTTTTGTCATCAAAGCTGGAAACAAATGGTTGATTTTCTCAGTAATTGTTGCTTTTTCTTTGCCCTTGCAGATCACAGAGAAATGCTGGAAAAAGGTATCATTAATATTGTAATAATGCAAGAAAACGATACAGGTTTTGTCTTCTTAGGGAACCTAAGGTGATTCATGTCTAACTTCTCTGGCCCTGCTGTGCTCTTTAGGCAGGACTACACCATCATGGACACCGTCTTGTCTGCTCCTCGCAGCAGCTACCCAGATATCGTCAAACTTACTGAAAAGAACGTCCAGTCTGGAAACTTCCACGACATGAAAGTGGTGCCGGGCTACTACACAGTAGCTACAGATAGAGGTGTGTGTTATTTGCGTGCCCAAATGGTTAAAATGGATCTTTTGTTTGCTCTTATACTGCCTGCCATAAACCTGCTCTTCTTCTGCAGAGGCTGCTGGAGCCATAGAGTTCCAAGAAGGTGTGGAATCAGTAGACGTCCATGTGCCGCTCTTTGTCAAAGATGAAGACGATGACAAGAAACAACTGCTGGTGGAGGCTGTAGATGTGCCTTTGGGGATTGCAGAGATTGGAAAACGTTTGGTTAACATCACCATCATCAAAGAGCACGGTGAGGAATGTTGAGTTAAAGTTCGAGAGGCCCTGTGGTTCGAACAGTGTTTGATGTTTGATCGTATAAACCGATTCTTTCCTCTGTTCCTCCACCAGCCTCCAGCGTCTTTTCATTCCTCCAGCCGTCTTACACCTACAGCAGGAAGGATGGAGTGGCTAAAATCCCAGTCAGCAGAGAGATCATCGAGGACGGACGCACACAAGTCGCATACCGCTCACGAGACCTCACTGCCAAGGATAAGAAGGTGAGCTGCTGCGTACTGGTAGCATGTGCGGCTTTTTATGTATGATATGGATGGGACTGAAAAATGAAGCCAACATGGCCACATTAAGGTGTCTCCGAAAAGTGAGTAAGCACTCACAGACGTCCATGTTAAAAATCCCAACTTAAGCAAAGACATTAACACGTTTACAGTCCGAAAACTGTATCATCTCTACAACTTGTTAATAACAATCGTACACTGGGTGAGTGTTTTATAACTCATCCATTTGGATGCTGCTCGGACTTTTATTTTATTTTATTTATATACCAAAGGTGGATGCAGCTTGTGAACCATCATCCAAATATGGTCACGATTAGGGATGGGTACCGTATCATGGCACCGGTTCTGACATAAACGGTAGTAACCAGACCG